GTCTCTCCCGTGACCATGGATGCTGTAAAGCATTTTAAACGTCGGGAACCAAAAATCAAAATAAATCCGCGAAAAAATTCGAAAAGATAGTTTTATTTAAAATGTCAAATATTCGCGTAAATCTAAGAAAGTATTACGTTCTAATAAATTTAACTGGTTTTTCACTAAGAGAACGAGAAACACGAGAGTAACGCAGAATGTCGTTATTCGCTCGCAATGCCGCAGGCCAAAGCTAAGTTAAAATGACATAGCACTCACTATATGTATTACGTCGTAGATATGTAGCAGTGCAGTCAAAACGTTCAGAAGAGCCGGCACGTCTTAGAATAAACTCCGCGACATGTGTTTTCTTGTCGAAGTAGAGCAGATGGAGTGGGATTAAGCTTCAAAACCTTTTGTTCGTGAAGGCTTTGTGTCCCGCCTCCCGGTGCACTGGTCTTATACTAATGAAGTTGCCATTTAGTTTTGTTCTTTTAATATTTTATAGGTTTATATTTATTCACTAAAGCGAGAACTGAACGTTAGGTTAATTTATTTGTTTCTTTTTTGTCTGTTTCCAATTGGTTTATTTTGCAAAATTTGCATTTTTTTTCATTTAATATGAATGTGTATTGTAGTATTTTAGTACAGGTATTTCTGCGACTTCTATCTTCTTTGCAGTGCCGTGTGCATTACGCCACGTGTACCTAACGTTTAAACACTTTAAATGTAAACCAATGTAAGTTCGTTAGTGTCACTTTGAAGTTTGAACAATTTTTGCGCGGCTGCAGCCGATGCTCCGATTAATTCCCAGTGACGTATGACCCCGTTGCATTGCAGCGACGAGCTAGGAATAAAACGTAACCTCCAGCGAAAGTGTTGCTCGAAGCTATACAGTATACACCTCACATTGCTAAGAACTATTATAAATTTATAAGTGTTGTACAGTACTATATGTTCGTTGAAAGTAGATAGTTTGGGATAGTTGAGAGACATTAGTTTTACTATACGATTTTTCAGGCACGAAAAATACTAATTATGTAAGGTTTTTACGATAGGGAAAACTACTAATTTATATTTCTTGATAAAAAATGAGAATAATAAAGAATAATAATAATTCTACCCTTTCAACGCACAGTGCAACCGAACTACACAAATATCTCGGAGTGTGTATGTTTGTTATGTGTATCTGCTTTGTAATTTTATGTGACGGCTGGCTCGGGTTTTCATACCGTGGCGTGTGTGGCTATCGTTAATTAATTACTTGGCCGTCATCGCAGTAGTGCGATGATACGCTCGCACGATGTGTCAAAACAAGTGCACACGGGACGAACAAAGGAGAATACCGTGAAATGATAACGAGCTGTAGCCCGCCCTATTTGAACTAGTACTCAGGGTTTTTCGTTATTTCCCCTATACTTCCCCTCCCCGAGGATGATAGGTGATTGACAGCTCAGGGCGTCGAATTTGAACTCGCCAGCTATCCACTTGTTATGACATCGATACTGTTTTAATTGGAATAACATTTTTATGCATATCAAACTTTCTAGTTTCTACGTATTCAAACAACGCCCAATGAAAAAGTTGCCGATATGAATAAATACGACGTTATTTGTCATTTTATTTTTTAAGCAAGCCACAATCACTGCAATGAAAAGTTTGATTTTGAAAATATCGCATGTGCTAATTTTCATGGCCTACTTTTTTATGAGGAAAAGTTTTTCATACAATACAATGAGAACGTCGTGATTGATGTTATAACTTTGTTTCAATAGTTAGTTGTCATGATGAAATAATTTATAAATTCTGCAGATTCTATTCATATATATATACGCATAATGCAGAATATTAAACACAGTATTGATATTCCTATTAAAATGAAACTCAACAATTTCGCAAATATTTAATCAATTAAAGTTTAAAGGAAGGGACGAAGAGCCTGTCGCCTACACTCTATCTGTCAATATAATATCATTAGAGCCTTTGTCTAAAATCTATTATTCTCATGTAAGAAAATGGTTTCCAGAATCCGTATTGTATTTAAGGCTATGTTTCTGTACAGGCCGATACATGTGTTCCGAACAGGGAGTTACCATCTTTGCTTGTCCTTCTTTCACATTGAAACAGAATGATATTAATATGATATAATAGGCCATTAAATTGATTCATCCATACTAACCGTACCCAGAGATGAACCCGAGCGAAGCGAGGGTGAGTCGCTAGTATAATATTAAAAATGCAACATAAAACGACCGTATTCACCGTTGGTAATTTTATTAATAAATTCGTCTATTTCCAATAACTTTATGTACTTTCCTCTGATTTTACAACTGCAAGTTAGACAGAGAGCTTGACGGCCAGTATTCACTTAAGTAAACTGTAACAACATTTTAACCGTGATTAAATACCTTTAAGATCATAAGAGATAATTGCATTGCATTACATGCTTTTGATACTCACAGTATATTCTTGTTTGGATTTTGGAGTTTTATAGTCCTAAAAGTATTTCATCTTACACCAAAATATTATTCCTGATATATCCTGATTGCAATATTTCATAAAACAAAGTAAAGTTGTTCGTATTTTTTCCTTATATCTCTCTCATAGATGATCTCTCATGTTATTTTGATGTATCTATAAATAAATCATATCGGACGTGAACGAGCTCTACGTCAATCCGAAATTACCCCATCCAGTATTTCCCCTCATCCATTATTGTAATGATTTTATTTTATGTTGTTTTCACCTCGTCACTGCGCTTGTATATCACTCACTCACGGTTTTGATTGATAGATAGCTTGAATATATCTGCTACGAACTTTCTACTATACTATACTAAAAAACGCCAATTATTTTAAAAATTATAAGCATCTAAGTCGTTCAAGGGATGCATTCTTTTTTTTTTGTGATTAATATTTTAATAAAACTTTCAACGAGATTCTTTGTCACATGAAAGTTTAAAAATGTCAAAGTCTATGTTGCCAATGATTTTATCAAGGATAGATTTTAAGAAGGGCATAACCTTTTTATTTACGGTGTGTCTGTCTATGCTTACGCGAACTAATCGGATGAATAAAAAATATATTATTCGTCCGACTATTATTGGTGTGTGACTTAGACATATAAATAATCTAAGGTGTGTAATATATGTATTGCGGCTATTTGTATGTTTCTATAAAAACAATTCTGACTTATTAAATTATATAGATTTTTTTATATCGATAGTTAAAATTTTATATTTCGAATAAGATCGAATAGACATAAATTAAAAATCTTTATCGTCCGATAGGTTAGAGTTAACTTGTTTTAATATGACGCAGTAATATATTCTTAATAAAATCCATTTTAGCTGCGTAGTCGTGACTTGTGGGGCGCTTTTGTTTTTTGTACAAAAAAAAACTTTTAAACTTAAAAATCGTTGCGATCTAAAAGAATAAATAAGTTTTCAACTCCGTAGCTTAAGGTTATTTTTTGCATATAGAAACTTCTGCACCTAATAATCACTTATTTTACATTAGAAAACGAAAAGCGATAGATATTCGTACAAACCGATAATAGTCGGATGAATAATTATTTCTTAATCGTCCAATTAATTATCGGACGAATAGCAACTGGTTTTTATTAAATTCACTTAGTGCAAAATAGTAATATTTATAATAAATGGGAGTTTAAGCCCTCGTATACGTCGAGTTAATCCAGAGAGCGCTACTAGTGGAAAATAGATTAATCCTTCTATGATCTTTTGATTCTGTTATTTTAATAGGATCTATTTGAATGTACTTTTTCAACAACTAATAGCCTTGTATATTTTTAATCTCTTTTAATTAGGCCGAATTTGTACATTAAATATCTTTTGGAAAGTCTTATTGAAATAGATATTAATACTCGACACGACCGGTGAGAGTTAAGGCACAGGACCGACGGCTTTACTCGTTCTTCGAGGCACGGGGGAGAAACACCGCCAACTCAATAACTAAACTTGGCCGGACCCGGGTCTCGAATCCAGGACCCCTCGATATGCAGCCGTACTTGCTAGCCACTACACCACCAAGGCATTTAAAGAGAAATTATTATCAATACAGGTACTGAATCTATAGTTTTTAGGATTTTTGTCTGTCTGTATGTCTGTTACCGCATCACGTCAACAGGATACTTTTTACTGCGGGAAAATATCTCATCTCTGTAAGTAGGGACGAATCCAAGCGCAGCGGGGGTGAGTCGCTAGTGTTACATAATGTAAAGTATTACTTTGATCTATGCTTCGTCACGGTGGCCTAAACCGGAAAATGGGTTCTTAAAGCCTGTCTTTGAGGTTTTTATCTTACGTTCATCATTTGCGTTTATAAGATAAGACGGCTTCAATACAACTTTTTTATCAGTCTAAATATCAGAAGTATTAGCTTCGACATCCTGGAATATGTGGTCACATTTTAAGCAGATTTTAGGTTTATTTGATGAAAAGCTATCGGCCACGTAATACGTAGTATTATAATTACTAGGCTTGTTACCCGCCAGTTTCTGTGAGCCTAACCTTAAAGTAGTAAGTGTGGCTTAGCCTAACTAATGGGTATCGCATTAACCGAGGGAGGCAATACGCTGTGTACTCCGATCTCAACTCCAATTATCTTCTAGAGTGAATGCGCACATCTCTACTTAAAGCTTATCATATACATTATTACAATGATTGTTCTACAGTTATTAGTATTAGTTACTTTATACGGTACGATTCAAAGCACATTATACTGTTTAAGTTTTAACACTTTTAACTCCATTTATATGTACATATATCGCTTATAAATATGAAATTGTATATGTTAGTTTTGCCTTTCTTCTACAAAAGGTTCAGATTGACGTGGTTTTCTGTATAACTAATAGGAAGCTGGAATTCCGTATTGGCTTCTTTTATCTTCCTTAGTGTCCGGTATAATGCTAAAAGTTAGTATTAGATGTGGGTATCGCTATACTTGGATAGCTAAGGCAAGTCACGATTTTAAAATAAAGTTAGTGCGTAAATGAATCGAATGCCTGATTCTAATTATAAATCACAAACACATGTTCCTGACGCAGTTAACGAAGACGTGAGTCTCCCGAGTGCCCCCAGTATTAATCAATTTCCCACAAGCGCGAGTGTCGAAGTCGGCACTAATCAAGACATCGCAGCCGAACATCAAACATACCGCTGTTTGTTCCGCAACGAACTTGTGAAGCGCGGAGTTGAAATCTCTTTCTTTTGCCACTTTATGTACGTAGAACGTACGCTGAATCAAATCAAATCGTCTTTGATTTACTCATTACGTCTATTTAATGTCAGAAACTGGTTGCTCTCCTTCTCTTTACAGCATTAAGTCGATATTTTCAAATTTACTTAATATAGTCGTTGTTTGTATATTTTTCACGTTTCTAAACTTTTAAAGGCAAAAGTTTAGCAGATTGTAAACGCGCGTTTTCCTCTCTAGCGGATAGTATAAATAAAGTTTTCTATTAAAAGTAGTTCACGCGGAAGTTGTAGAAGTCAGTAATTAAATATGGAAGTGTAGCCCAGCGGCAGCAAACTTAATAAATCCGAAGACGCACAAGATTTGAATAGTCAATTTGAATGTCGAACAGATCCGCAAGTTGAGGCAAGTTTTTCCGAGTATCGTCGCCATGGCGCCGGCCCTCTGGCCCTAATTGAGAAAGTTTAGCGGAGCGAGAAAATTTCTTTAAAAGCCGCCCTAACTGATGTCCTTCAGTGCTCGTCCCTTCGAGATTACGAAATGATGAGCTTTCTCTTGCTTGATGTAGAATTCGTTTTCCAAAGAAATGCGCCAAAATATGTATATATAGGTTGTGAAAATTTTTCGTAATTAAATTGTAATTAAATAATTAGGCATGGATAAATATTTTGTGAAATGATAGAAGAAAAATCAAACATTTCTGCCTTATACTCGTACATATATTTTCTATTATATGTTGTCATAATTGAAATGAGTTAAGCCTTTTCCTGCAGTTTCTTTGGCAAAATTATCTTTCAATATTCACTTACTACGTACAATGCACATTCTCATTCTTTTGCAAAAACTACTTCTTTTTGATCAATGACACACCTATTTGTTTGAATTTTAATAAAGTAATTTTCATAAAATGTTTTATTTATATTAAATGTTTCATTATTGATATTACATAAATAGTAAATCCTACAAACAAAAACATAGTACAACAAATATAAAGGCGAATAAAAGCATGCCAACATAAGATTAATCAGGTAACTAAAACTCGCAGTAATATCGAAATGGAACCATTAAAAATGACACCAGAGAGGATTAATTGAGGGATGGCCGGAAGTTCGGAATGGATTGCCATGATCAATATCCGCGGACCGCAGTGGCAATGCCTTGCTGGCTACCCGCTACCCCTCGCGGTGGGGAGCGCTACCTACTACCCATCACTGCGCTACCCTTTGCACCCGCTCGCCAAGGAACGACCGAAATAAACTAGCAATTGGACATTTATTTTGGCGAAATCCGCAGGGTGGAAACCCATTAAGTGATTAATAATTTAGATCATTGGACGATCGACTCGAAAATAAAAGCAGAAATTGGAATTCGAGAAATGTTTTTTCCTTAAATTATTACATAATCGCGGATTATGAGTGTTTAATGGATTTAGTAGTTTTAAAAACAAATAATAATAAAAGAAGGAAGGAAGTAATTTAGCAACTCTCTTGGCGCTTGATAAATATAGGCACAGGACGAATGCTTTGTTGCGTACCGATATATGTGTTTTTATAGGAATACGATCTATACGTTAGTAACTATAATAAGTATTATATATTTATTCAAATTTACATATCTTGTCATGCATCCATGTTAATGTAATACCTATACGAGTATGTATTCGTACGATTTAGTTCTGTTTGTTTCATCAACTTGAACTGAAAAGTAATTATAATTTGTGTAACGGACTCCACATTAACTTTAGGTGCTGGTGATTAAAATCTATTATCACAAACGTGTAAACAATTAGAATGTGCAGAATGTAAAATTTTCTGGAAATTCATTTTTAAATTTGCCTCGGATTTCATAGCGAGGACCGTGGCATTTGTCGGCTAAGCGAAGCTTCGCTTTGAAGCCTTTGTGGCCGATTTTAGAGTTCCTGCCTTTAATTACGTGTTCAAAAGTATGTTGGAGGACGACTATAGAAATATGTTTTTGAGTGGCATTTTCTTTCCTAGAATACAAGAATCGTTAGTCTATTTAGAAATAATTTACTTTTAGTTAGTGGATACATGGTTCACGTGATGACGTTATTATCGTGATATTATGTATATTTTTTGCATTACTTTTAAACAACTCTCGACCTATATATAACCTTGGATATATTTGCATATGGTTACAACTGATGGTGTTACATTTCTTTAATGATTGTCACATTATACCCCGCTCGTGTAATCATGAACTGAGTTTGAGTTTTATCAACGACTACTATAAACAAAATTCGAACTCGTAAAGTTAGGGTTATAAATTATAATTAATTAATTATGCTACTTGAGCATTAATTTAAATTATGTCGTAGACTCGGCAATTTTATTTAATTACCTACCGTAATAAGATAGGTATTGTTATATTTAAAAAAATATAATGTTGAGCCATTTTTTTTATAAATATGTTGGGACATTCACACAGACATGACAGACATGACACACAGTACCATCTAGTTCCATAATAAGCTACGAGGCCGGTGTTATGGATACCAGATAGTTGATACACTACACATATATAATTTTAATTATATACGTATTATAACACCCATGACTGAAGTACAAACATTTCGTGCACATAACACATGTATAAATGCCTCTAGAGGGACTCGAACCCGCAACCGCTTACACAGCAAGTAGGGTCACTAAAAACTGAGCCAAACGTGTCGTCAATATTTTAATTGTCAGTTACGTATTGTATATTTTCTTTCGCATTTTGTAACTTTTTACCACCAATATTCCAACTTCCCGACGATCTGTATTTTGGATAGTGATATTTTAGGATCCACAGGTCCCTATTCCTTATTGATTAGATCGGATTAATTGATATCGAAGATTACACCACGACCAATTATAACATTTCATAGATTAAGTTTTAAATCCACTATTTCTTCGACTCCACCTACACTGTCAATATTTGGTCAAGAATTTGTGGTCTGTTTTGTATGTAGGCTAAAAATATCTTCAGCCTTTCCCTTAAGTAAGATCACTCTATTGCTTAATATTGTGTGCAAATAACGTGCCATTTTAACATCCACTGTCGCTAACTAAATTTGGCACTTACGAAAATACAAGCATTCCACTCTAACATTTACTTTGAATGTATTCGGTTGATTTTTTCTATTATATGTACTTGCGAGCTACCAAAAACGACGCCCACTTTTGAGCGTGCTTTCATTTGTCTCCCACAAATACTCGTACATTAATATTCCGCGACAGACACCCGTCGTGTATTAATATATACGAATTGAAGATAACATCGATATACAGCGTGCTTTGCTATTCATCTTAACCATTCACGTTATGTTATAGTGTTTGCGCTTTCTGCTTATTTGTAATATAAATGTCGATTTATGGACGTTGAATACAGATTCACGTAGAAGTTTCAGTCAGTCTGTAAGTTTCATTTGAAATTGATCCGTTTTATGTACGATCTTCAACTGTACATAGGTATGTACAATATGTATGGTATCGGATTCGAATAAAAATATAATATATTTATAAGTAATTTAATTGTTTTTATAATTAAAAATCATTATTTTGTTTTTTGTTAAATAACTAGTGACTTAAATCCTAGTTTCGCTCAAGTTCGTTCCTAGATGCCTTTTACGACTTCAATTTCATACAGATTGAAGTAATAAACATACACACATGCACACATAAAAAATCGCATTTATAATAGTACCTAGTATAATTTCTCTGCTTGGTGAATGATTTATTATGATCAATGTTCGAAATTCAATCTTACTCATTACTATATATATGTATATTAAAATAATATGTATAAAATATAAAGAAAACTTTTTATTGATAATATTAATCAATAGATAAGTCAATAGCTACTAAAAAAATAATAAAAGAAAATCGGTTCACAAACAGAGGAGAATAAGGTACCTACTGAACTGAAGCATGGATCTTCTAAGATTTTCTTACAATAACTTTATCTATTGAAAATGTACCTAGGCAGTAGGCACGCACCCTAGCGAAGTGGGTATTTTTTTGTTAGAAAGTTCTTAAGGTGGAGATTGGAAAACTTTGTGACGGGAGTTCTCCACTTTCTTAGAAGTCGCGATGCACTTTACGAGTTTTATAAAAATGATGAAGAATGTTAACAAGTAATACTCAATAGAACATTAAGGATAAAAGTGTCATAAAGCCTTTTTATAAATAAATAAAACATTTTCCGCTTTATAAATAAAACATAAATGAAAAATTAAAAAAAACCAATGCCGAAAAATTGTCACATAGAAGAAAACATCAAATAAAATTTTTCCAAAACCCATAACATTAAAGCGTAACATAGAATATTATTAATAGCCGTCGTACGTAACCTGTGTTGTAGACTGTACAATGTGCATACATATTATGTAGTATGTGCCAGTAGCTTTATTGTTAATTATAATGTGCATTCGACAACACATTTTATGCGTGACGGCTGTTAATAATATTTTATATTACGTTTTAACGTAGTGTAGTAAGTTTATGAAAATTTTATTTCAAGTTTTTTAGTCATGGCTTTTTAAAATGTTTGTAGTAAATGCAAAACATTTATTTAAAAAAAACCGTTTTGCAGAAACATGTGTATACTTTAGCGGCCCCTTGGCGGTCGGTAACATTATAAAACTTAGCTAAGAACATGCTCAGGAAAGAGACTTAAAGCAAAAAACCGTTTCAAAATCGGCCTAGCTGTAACAGACACACGCAAACACCTCTTACCACAAACGCATGAACGCATGTACCGTTTTTGTGGCTGTCGCGGATAATAAATAGACTATAGTATTTATGTATGGACAAGCTATGTATCAATATTTTTAATTTAAAAAGAATTAATCTAACACGTGTGATATAGCATTTCAATGTAATAATGTATACTACATTCATGCAAACGGTTGTGATATGTAGATCTCAGTATCTCGCATACAAGTTGGCGAAAGGGGTACTCATGATTAATTCCGCTGGAAGGTCAAATACGCACATACAATAGTAACGACCGTAAGATTGAAGTCCTTTCGGTTATTTCACATATTCCTCGGCCTTTATTTAGTGGCTCTTTTTTATTTGTCTGTCCCTTTTTTGTTATCTCACTCCTCTCTTCCCATGTGTATGATATTACAGGCAACTTGATGTCTTTGTTATTTGTTTTTTTTATTATCTCAATTCCAACATGATATTAATAAATATAAATAAATATGTTGGGACATTAACACAAGGCACCATCTAGTTCCATGGGAAGCTACGAGGCCTGTGTTATGGATACCAGATATATACTACACATATTATATAGATTTATTTATTTATAGATTTATTTATTTATAGATTTATTTATTTATTTACTAAGAACATCATTTTCGCATATAATATCATATACAGTTTCCATGTTAATAACTGCATTAGTTATACAACTGAGTCGCAGTTATCAACGCCCACCTCTCTAGCAACAGGCTATAATTGTATATGCTAAATTATTTGTATCAATTCTAATAAGACAAAAAATAATAGATTTTCAAATAGCAAAAACACAGAAAATAAAAAATTCGACAAAATAAGTTATGAATTACAAAAAAAATATACATCATAGAAATTGTTGAAAGTTGCAGTATTTGTGAGTGAAGTGTGTGTATGTATGAGTTTGGTTGTGTAAGTGTGTATATATGTAAGTAGGTACATGTATTATGAGCATAACTTTAAATACCTACATATTATAAATATAAAGATCCATGACTAGAGTACACACATACGTGCTCATCACACAAATGAATGCCCCCAGCGAGACTCGAACTCACGACCGCTGGCACAGCAAGAAGAGTACAAAGTACAAACGGATCATCAGCTACTTAAGAAATAGTTCTAATTCACATTACTATTATGTTAATTGGTGTTTTCGAGCTCCAGTGCACTGCAAATTTCTCACTTAGAGTCTATTGGCTGATAGTTTATTGAGGTTTATAGTAAGTGGGAAATGGTTAAAAAAATTTTTTGGATCGGTCATTAAAAAAAATCATCTTGACCCTAATTACCAATCGAAATCTCTAGTCTGATTCATCTATAAAAATACTTAAGTCATCCCCTTAAAAAAATCAATAAAAATAAATCAGCATATAAAAAACAAAAACTTGGACAAGGTTGTTTTGAATTAAGTTATCCCGAATAAAGAGTTAATTTCCAATAGGGATAGGGATTTTCGATTTACAGAAGCATTTTCGAGGAACTTATCAGCCATTCAGGTTTCATGAAAGGCATCGGAATGAGTTATTTGGGGCGGCTGTCGATAATTTGATTTGTCGTACAATGGCGAGCTTAGCGGGGCAGGGTGAATGTGGCGTGATTGCGTGGATCGGAACAATGAGGGCAATCAGACGCCAATGAGTTTGCTACTCTCGGTGCGCTCTAAGGTTATCCAATTCTTAATTCAGTTTTTAGAAAGATAAGCGATTTTAGAGTGATGCGATTGCAACGTGGTGTCGAGTGCTCTCCGCCGCTCATTTGCTCAACAGTATCAGACGATTATTTTAAGACAATTTCTTAGGATTTTAATTTTCTTCTCCAATAGCATACTATAAAGGATTTGCGCTACAATAGAACTAACACTTTGAATCCTGACGTCGATAATTTAATTTAGACATACAATAGCGAGAAATAGCGAAAACGCTATTATTAAGCCGCGTGTGAAAATGAATCCCGCGATTTGGCACAAAGAAGTCACTCAATTGAAAACATTTGTCCTTGGTCGTCGTCGTAGCTGGCTAAAGATAACAAGTTTTTAGCTACAAACATAATCATTTTTATATTATGAAATGGATCATCACAATTTAGAATCGTAGAGCAATTTTTTTATGGAAAATTGCTTAAATTTCATTTTACATAGGAACCTTCTAAATACATGAGAGAAAAGAAAACGTTTTTAGGGAATCAATTCAACTTTCTAAAAGATATAGTAAAGAATGTATTTGGAAAATAATAACCTTTCAAAAAATACTCCAAAAAGCCCATGGATTGGGGCTAGTTTGCTACTAAATGTACGTATACATTATATGAAATCCATGAAATCATGCATTAACTGAACACCAGTTTAGTAAACGTGTTTAATTTGTTACTAATTAAAGTTGATAAATATTAAATTCTGTATATTTAAGCATGCACCGGTGGACTTCATAATGAATAAATTAAACTACGTCAAATTACTGAATATTTTTGTCAATTACCACGTTTAAAATCTGGGCTAACGTGCCTCGAAATCTATTACCGTATTACAACATCGGATACGTATAATGCTATTGTACGAATTTAGCAATTAGTACTCGCTGAATACACCATTGAATATCAGTGGGCGTGCCGTGCGTTGAGCCTCAACTACATGTGTTATCGAGTCTCAAGTGAAACAATGGGGCTGTAGGAGATAGAATTCCACTTCTGAAGTTTAGTATATATTTACTAACTCGACGGTTCTTTAGTTTTTTAACATTTTCTTAACTGTCTCTGCGTTTGATTTTATCAAGAATGGTACTTTTATTATTTTTAGTGGGTTATTTAGTTTGATATCAAGTCCTCATTTAAGATAATATATTGCATTATGTAATGCATATATTTTACTGTGGCTGAAATCGCTCAGGAGAACATTATTATTAATATTAGTGTGCTACATACAGACTTTAATTTGATTTTTAAATTTTACGTTAATTTTAATAGGTTACGCCGGTGTACTCGAAGGTGCTAGCTAATTAATATAGCGCGAACTTGTTATTTCACTCTACTAAAATTTCTGATTATATTTATATATTTTTTTTAAAAGACATCAATTTAAGCTAATTCAGGAATCATACGTATAGAATTACCGATAAAAATCCATTATGTAAAAGATAACAACAATTTTAATAAAAATCTATGTCAAAACAGGCTTTAAAAAAATATTATGAAATGTGTGCCAAATAAGCTACTATGCAAGAAGTGCATACCACAAAGAGCAAGCTCAGAAGTGCAGGATGGAAATATACCTGATAGTGGGAATGGCGGTGCTAATCTACTCGCTAGTAGCTCTCTTGGTAAATAGTGAATGTTGGAAACAGGCGAACAAGTGCCGATGCGAGGAGTGTAAGAGCCTGTGCCAGAGCAACCAGACTATCACACCGTCTGTCGTCTCAGTGTCGTCACGAATCGACATTGAACGACCATAATTATCTAACCGCTCAACTACTTAAACTAAGTGCCAAATATATAACGAACATCTATAGATAAACTCTACAGTGCTTACAGGGCTTATTTAGTGTACGAACCTTTTAGTAAACTTAGAATAAACTAATTTAACTGACATCAAGGTTGTATTTTCTTGACGTTTTAGAATTAGAAATAAGTACTTTAATTTAACAAGGGTGATTGTGCCAAGATTAGTTAAAATAGAACTATTTAGCTCACTTTGCTCAAATAACAACTAAGTAAATACTGAATATTGAATATTAACACAAAATGTGTTGAGTGCGGTGTGTTCATCTTATCATTACGTTGAATGCATATGTATGTACATACATACGAGTACGTGTTATAGTGTTGTACAAAAGTGAATGATGAGTGTGATGAAGTGTTAGCGGGCAATGGACCCGCTGGCTCGGTTAATGGAGGGCGCGCCGTTGCCGGGCGTGCTGGGCGCGACCCGCGACGCGCGGCCCCGCGGCGCGCTTGTGCACGCCAGTCTGGCCGCCGCGCCGCACCTGGGCGACAAGAAGGGCAGGCACTTGACTGGCACCTTCTGCCTCACAGGGGACACCATGGAGGGGATTATACAGTGCCTAGTCTTCCTTAAAGCATTCTCGGTAAGTACACATACATATTCGGTACACGCGGGAGTTAACTATATTGAACGAATATCTTGTAACTACAATGCACAAAAAGTGTATTCAACATTATTTCATTCATATTCTCAGTTAAATTGCCAACTGAAGTACTCGGGGAAGCTGCGTCAATCTTTTTATATTATATTCTTGTTAAGCCCGAACTACTCTCGCAGGACTTACAACAAATATAATATTTCCAAAGGAACGGATTGATTGAAAAGCAAATTTCTTCAAGCTGCTCCAATTATATTGCCACTATTGAGACTGGATTACTTCAGCTTTGCTTCTTTTGAGATGTATTATAGAATTTTCTATAACGGAAAGTATCTAATAACGTTCACTAGATTCCGATAAGTTCTTTCATAAAATATAATAATTCGTTTGTCAGAATCGATGTTACATTCATTTCATCTAGCAGACATGTGAAGGATATGATCATTGTTAACGTCACGGCTCACGGCAACAATTTGATATTTTCTGTCTTATCAAATATTACCTTCGGCGGGTGGCATTTACGCAGCAGCAAACATATTACCGGCGCGTCTATCGAATTTACCATTTGCATCATATAAATCGAATTTTAACTGTAATTTGTGTCTATATATATTTATTGTCTTATTTCCTCTATCTATCCTATAGTGTATATAAGAGTGATGCTCGTCTTCATTTTATGTATTATTATATTTATTAAAAATCTATGTATTTAACACACTATCGTTTGTTATGAAAGGATTTTTGTGTAATTTTATTGTCAAATTACTACACCACACTGCAGTGACAGTAGTTCAGAGTGAAACTAAAAATCCAATCAGCTCGACCTGCAAAAACCTTTATTTCCTTTTATTTTTTTCAAACATGCAAATGAAATTTATTTTAAGCATTCAGTTTATATGAAAATGCGCCGGCATGTTTTAGTCGTGCCAGAGATAATTAAGATATGATGAAATCTCGTTTAGTGTATATTCGCGCATTCAAAAACATTTTTTTTGTTTGTTATTATATTCTTAAATTAAAACTTTTAACAAGCAGTACTTTGAAAAAAAAATATACCTATATCTAGATATAATATATTTAAAAATATTATGAAAGGCAGAACTGGCGTTGGATGATTTCCGTATTCATTTTTATCGTCTTTAATCTTTATATAATAAGACTATTTGTTCACAAATGGTTTCTTGAAATCTTAACTGATTCTTTCAGAAGCACTTCTAGAAAGTTAACTTTATAATAATTTATCGACTTTCCTCTCATATAAATACGATTCCCATTGTTCATGCTGTTACATAAAAAGAATTTCATTCTAAAATACGATTTGACCATAGTTGTACAACGTATAACTGACCAAACATTACTATATTTGCTAGATTTAATTCCAACTTGCCGCCAGATTGCAGCAAGCCGCAAGGTAAACATTCAATTGAATGTAATTATGTTTAATTTGAGCGGGCTCCGCGTCGTCAGCGGCATTCATTCGTCTCGGATCTCATTTAATTTGCTTTGCGTCGAGCGCGGACGCGGTGTATCGATTAAAAGAATCGCTACCATCACTTTTAAGAACTAAAAACGGTTGTAATTTTATTTAAATGAGTATAGATTTCTCTATATTAATTCAGATTATGCAACTACTTGTCGCTTGGTTAGCTGAATAAATTCAATAAAATTCCGCAATGACCACTTTTAATTTTAGGCGTAGCTTTTAATTGTTTAATTCAAAGAAAATGAAATTTATATATCGTTCTTAATTTATTTTTCACAATAATAGGTATATGAAAGGTTCCTTGCTATCTATACATACCTATAATATAATTGTAGCTAAGACGAATCTGTACATTAAGTAGTTTTTGGAAAATGTTATTGAAATAGACATTATTATCGATACAAAGCCCGAATCTATAGTTTTTACAATATTTGTCTGTATGTCTATCTGCCTGTCTGTCTGTAACCGCATCACGGAAAAACCACTGGAGATATTTCGATGAACTTTGATATAATGATAGCTGGTTATCCGGGTCAACATATCGGATACTTTTTACTGCGGGAAAATATCTCATCTCTGAGAAATCTATACTAAGCGTGAAAAACTTAGTAGGGACGAACCCGAGCGGAGCAAGGGTGAGTCCTACTTTTAACATAAAAATCTACTTTAACTTTAGAAAATTGATATTTAAGCTGCTCTAAGTGCCGTAACGTAGTGTATAGGACCCTTTTTTTAATTGTGAGCGTGCACGATGCAACATGGTTAGTTTAAATAAATATTCAAATTAGTTTTCTAGCAGAAGTTCTTAAATGAATAAAATTAAATTACTATCAAATATCCCGAACTGCCCACCTTTTAAAATACTAAGCGTAGGAAATTCTTTACAGAACTCGTAAACAAGAGCAAAAGTAAATGAAGGTATTTCATAATTTTTAACTTCTCCCGACATCTGAAAGTTATACATAATTAAAAGCCCCTCGAAGCTTTTAAGGAAATTTCCAGTTAATCAAACTCCGTTAATTAAAGAAACAGTAAAATTAGACTAACTTTGTTTTCTGCACCTTTTCTTACGAAGCTAAGTGGTAATAAACATATTCTTCTGCAACTTGGTAAATATATTTTTGTAAGGTATATATATGAAATTCTACACCATTATATGAAGACATAATGGCATAAAAATCTTTCATTACTTTTGTCGGCGCATGACAATTATGATAGAAACGGTGATATTTTTTTTTTTTTTCTCGGATCTGAATATTCTAGAAGCGCCGCTACGAAAATTCCTCTGGTACATATTTTATCACTCTGCCCTTCTTACTTGAGGGTTAAAATACGTAATGTAAATACCCTCTTTAGAATTCATCAGTCGCCATTTAATAATTTAATGCTGATTCTTCTTTATCGTTACTTACTGGAATTTGACTTCTCACGTCCACCTCTGGCGGTTTTGCGGCAGTTTCGAATTCATTTTAAGTCGCCATTGTTGGCCGAATTTCAAATTCATTGTTTCAGTCAATTTTGTTTTAACTGCAAAAATAATATTTCCATACAAAGTTTTACTTTAATGTGTAACGCGTTTTGCAATTATAATGAAATATTAAAATACATTTATAGCATGGCTGTATAAATTGTGTACGGATATGTATATTTTAAGGAATAGTGTTTTATATTTTAGTTTTGGCTATCACGTGCGGCGGTAGATGTGCAGGTCCTGTGTTCAAGCCCCGGGTTGGGTCTAATTCAGTCATTGAGTTTTTCTGTCAAGGCATTCTCAGTAACAACCCGAAGTAGAGAAGTTGGCGGTGGTTCACACCTATGCTTCAGATATCTCCTGTGCAGATAGCTAGTTCCAGTGAGATTGGTTGCTGTGGCCGAAATCAGCCAGGAGGAGATTGTTATTATTATGTTTTAGTTTTAATTTCAAAGATATCTTTATCAGTGAGAACTGAGAGCATTATAGTATTCTATTTGATATAATATAAAACTTCATAAATTGTGTCCCAATAAGACCTTGTAATCTAAATTCAGCGCACAGCATTGTTATCCGCCGAGCAAACACAGTAAGATTAAACATATTCCGTGCATTGTAGTTTGTTACTTTTATAATACGATCTGTAATACCGAGCTTTGCGCGCTTTGCTTTCAACAATACGAACTTATGGGCGCGTCATAATGGAGATTATATCGTGCTTACTATTGTAACAATGGTATGTTTTATAAATATTTATGTCTATGGCTATAAAAACTTTTTATCAAAAAATAAAAACCGACATCCAGGCACTAAAATGTAAAAAATAACTAAACGGAGGTTTTCATTTAGAATAGGTACCTAATCAGATATTTTCGAAGTCGGTGCCAGCCGATGCAAAGCAAATCTAATATATTTTGATACGTAAAATACATAATATCTACCTATTAGATATTCATATCTTAAAATATTGTCAATACAAATTGAGCCGAGCGTGTCGTCGAATAGCACATAGGCTACTTTTTATCCCGGAAAAACGTACGGTTTCCGAGAGATAGATTTGTTTTTCTAAAGAATATATGTTAATTAATAGTATGTTCTTTTTGTTTTAGCATAAGAGAAGTTTTGATTTAATTTATTATATAAATAAATAAATAATAATAAATAAATACGTTGGGACATTAACACACAGCACCATTTAGTTTCATGGTAAGCTACGAGGCTTGTGTTATGGATACCAGATAGTTGATTATGATATTATAAATAATCTATATATCTTTAAATATATACATATTATAATAATCTATATGCCTAGAATAATTAAGTTGCCATAAGAGAACAAGTCAAGGCATGTTCGTTCAAAGCTTGTTGTCAAACAACATACCACTCGTCATTTCGCTGAACTTCATTGTACTAAAGTCCTCTTAAAACGCTTGACAGGCTGTAGGTACTTAGTTCGAGTAATTAAATGTAATTTTAGTCGTGACTTTTGAAACTTGGTAACTAGAAATCTTAAAGGTGTTATAATTTTACTTTGTAATGATAAAATAATTCACAGCCCGAGTGTACATTATTCGTAAAGAACACACCTACGAGTATTTAAAACAATTGATATAAATTTTGAGAAGATAATTTAAATGATTTAGAAGATAATCTCCTTCAATTCTCGATTAAGTTTTAATACACGATTATTATGAAGTTATTGGGTTCTTTTGAAATCCATACTAATATTACAAATGTGAAAGTATGTTTGTTTGTCCTTCTTTCACGTCGAAACAGAGTGACGGTTTGGGTAATTTTTTGTGTGGAGATAGTTGGAGGGCTGGAGAGTGACATGGGCTACTTTTTACCGCGGGAGATTATCTCTTTCCCGCGGGAAAACACGTTATAATACAATCCAAAAAAATATTTATGATCAGAATTACTTGAAACTTAGTATAAATGCTCTTTAATACAATTAATTAAATACGTGTTTTAGCATTTTTCTAAATTCATCCCATAAGGGGGTAATATGACAGATGAAAGTTTGTATGAAACCTCCCATTTTAGAGCTTTTTTTGTAGTTTTAGCGCGAGCGAAGCCGCCGGTTCTGCTAATGTTTAATATATTATATTTTATTTAATAAATGCTTATAAGTTAAAATAATTCAAATAACATCATGCTTTTAATAGTAATTAGTCCTAAGTACAGCCGCCTACAACGTTGACATTGGACCTATTGAAATTCACTGTGGCTGGATTTTAATGGACTTCAGCAAATCGCTGTTTTGGAGCATCCTGCTTAGATTATGAATAAAACATGCGATATGAATTAGGGCGTGAATGAGCAGTGCGGAGACGCCGGAGCTGACATATTTAGCAACTTTGACATGATGAGGATATCAATTATAGTTACAAGAGAAAAAATATATTAAAAAGTTAATAATATAGTTAAATTATTACTTAAAGTGTTCATTTAAGTGACTCGTTTATATAATAAAATGTGATAAACACATTTGAGCTTTTAAATTATTTCTTTTACTGTAACAAATTACTTTGTATTCAGCCTTTTTTAACGTCCCACTGCTGGGCACTGGCCTCTCTACGGTACGAGGGGGATCAGGCCATAGTCCATCACGCTGGCGAAGTGCGTGTTGGCGGACTTCGCATGTCTCCTGAAAACTTGCTAGGTTCTCTCAGACATGCAGATTTCCTCGCGATGTTTTCCTTCACCGTTCAGACAGATGGTAATCATGTTGGAAATGATTCGCACATGAAAATATCAGAGGTGCAAGACAAGGGATTTGTTCCCGCTTCACTCGGTTACCCAAGCGACCGCGTTATTACTGGGCTACGACTGCATCAATTTTAATTATTTTGGTTCTGCCAAATTACTTTGTATAAGTAAGTGTGATTATATTTTATCATTAAAAATGGAAAAATATAAACTTTAAAAAAAATAAATAAACTATGTACGAATATACACTAAAATGTAAAAATCAGATATTTTCGAAGTCGATGCCAGCCGATGCAAAGCAAGTCTAATATACATATATATTATAATATTTCAATACGTAAAATACATCACAAATTGATGTGTAATATTTTAACTATAATTAGAGTGCAAACCTAATCATATTTACCCATAAAATATAGTCCGCTGGCACCGACTTCGAAAATATCTGATTAGGTATCTATTCTAAATAAAAAACCCCGCTTAGTTATTTTTTATATTTTAGTGCCTGGAAGTAGGTTTTTTTAAAGTATGATTGCTTTGATCGTAAGGGCCGTGATATGATATTAGATAGCCTTCCTAAATAAATAGACCGTAAGAAGCAAAATGAATTAAATTTAAGATATTCCCTTTGTATGGAAATTGATCCCACGATCCTGTCGTAATAAGCAATGACACATTGGTACATCACTATACTGCAATAAGTATAAAAATGTTAATTTAATATAAATAATTTAATACAATAATTTGATACTTAATAAAACAATAGGAAAAATTCTGGCTTGTTCGAACTTTCCACAAAATGGGACTTCACTTGTTCGTTGCGACAGTAAAAGTCATGATTGTTTTCTCCTTACTTTTCCTTCATGTCTCTTTTCTTTCATATATAATTATTTTTGTACGTTTTACCTAAATAAGATTTTCCAATTAAATACAAATATTATATATGTATAGTATTGCAAGTATAGTGTCTATTGTGTATACTGTAT